AGTTACATGTATTAGAGAAACATGCATCATGCAACTTTGACACGTCAAACTATGTACATGTACGTACACACGGAAAGTTGGGTGTGGTCCTCGAAAGAGTGCTCAATGCACCGGGGTGCTGAGTCACAGCCAACCCAAGCTCCGTATCCCATTCTATTCTTTTTTACATGTATGTACATGTACCTATCAACGATCTATCAGTACCAGTACCAGGGAGTAGGATAGATACCCTTTTAACGTTAGAACGTTAGAACGGTATGTACTACTTGCAGATTATCATTATAAGCTTTCCTTCGTGTTCTGTCTTCTCTGTCCCCCGTCTCTCTCTCTCTCTCTCTCTCTCTCTCTCTCTCTCTCTCTCTCTCTCTCTCTCTCTCTCTCTCTCTCTCTCTCTCTCTCTCTCTCTCTCTCTCTCTCTCTCTCTCTCTCTCTCTCTCTCTCTCTCTCTCTCTCTCTCTCTCTCTCTCTCTCTCACTCTCTCCTGTATGTGGGGCTCCGTTTATTGAGGTGCGTTGAAAGCGCTTGCTCGAGCGTTGAACCAGGTTCTTAATCCACCATACCCAGTTCGCAAGGCTGGGCGGGGTTGTGAGCAGGCTTTCATTTCATCTTTTCTTATTATTTCTGCTTTTCATCTCATTAGGGGCCATCCGTAAATATCGAATGCTTTTTTCAAGACGATATTTGTTCATTTCTCCCCAGACCCCCTCCCCTCCCCCCCCCCTCAAAACGAACATACACATGGTTATGCAAGGGATCGATATTTTTTAATGAAGTTCAATTTCCTCATGAAACGTGACCAGCTGCCACTCTAATTTCACCAGACACCTAGGTTTATGTTGCCACGGTCGCACAACCTTGCCATGGCTATGCTCACGAGGTTGACTTTCACTTTGTGTAGGTCATAAACTACATATTCGAACAGCGCCCGTCCATAGATAGAGTTCGATATTTTTTCTACAAACACGAGACGAACAGGGCCTAAACCCCCTCCCCCCCCCCCCCCCCCAAACGAACGAATATCTTCTCTAAAAAAACATCGATATTTTGTGGACGACCCCTTACAAAAATTCTGCGCATTTTTTCTCCATCTGCGCATAAAATCTTGACTGACAACCTGCTTGTTAAATCATGCACCTGCTTTCAGGCGTAAACACCCTGTTGTAGAGGTCTCAGTCCTCATTTGTTAGACTTACCTGTCTTTATAAATGTAACTTACTCTCTCTCTCTCTCTCCTCTCTCTCTCTCTCTCTCTCTCTCTCTCTCTCTCTCTCTCTCTCTCTCTCTCTCTCTCTCTCTCTCTCTCTCTCTCTCTCTCTCTCTCTCTCGAAATCCTTTTCGAGGAATATGAAAATTATAAAATTATTTCAGTGAGAATTCAAGTCGGCAGGAATAGCGCAAGCTCCCACGTAGGGAGCAACACACAATTCCCCAAGTATCGCCGAAGTCGCACCAACCTCTAAGTACTATTATACTTAGCATGGGAATTGTGTGTCGCTTCCTACGCGGGAGCTTGGGCTTTTCCTGCGGATTTGAATTGACTGTGTAGCGCTCTTCTAGCCTAAACAGCACTCGGGATAGTAACACTAACAGTGACACTCCGGTTCCAGCTCGACAAACACCTCACGACCTCCAGACAGCAGCAGCGTGAGTCAGTATCGCTCATAGAGGTGCTGAAGAACGCTGAGCCGGATCAGGACTTCATCCCAATGATCACGAGAAATAATGGTTTTCACCTCCCACTATCTGTTTCACTGAAGAAGCGATCACATCTTTTACATGTACATGTAGTGCTAAGAGGTGGTGAAGCTGGTAAGAGATATTGCTGCGGCTTCAGAGACAGATTGCCTATGTGGTATGTGTATGTACATGTACATGTATGTGTATGTACATGTACACCCCTTGCTGCAAGTAACGCGTTAGTTAGACTATGTGCAGCCGTTCTCCCTTTTTGTCCCAAACCAAGCTCTTGCTGCAGCATTATTATACAGCATTTTAAGATAAGGTAGGTTTGGAGCAATATGGTTAGCATTATACAAACATTTTCGGAGCATTATCTGCTGGGCCCTAATCTCGTTGCATGCATTATCATCGACTAATTCTCACCGGTAAAACAATTCAAATATACAGTGTTGTGCACTGGTTTCTGCGTTATGTACAGACATGTTATCTGCTCGGCGAGTCTTAAAAAAATGAACAAACACAAAAAAAACAAGGAAAGAAGGCGAAAATGGCCCCTGCGGCGAACAAAGCGTTGGGTGTTTGGCCCCTTCTTTCACTCCCCGAATCAGTTTTGAACAAGTAGAAATCGCTTGAGGATACCATCCTGAAGCGGTGTGCTGGATGATAAGTATGTCCTTTTCAAAGTGCAACAGTCGTTGGCACGGTTGCTAAAATGGATTTGGAGATTTGCAGTGCATGAACTCTGGCCAGTCGTGTTTTGGGAGAAACTGAACGGTACGAAGTTGTCGAATTGGGCCTGATTTATTTGCCCTTGGCCTGAACCAGCCGCTATCGGAGTAAATAAAAAAACATGCATGTGTTTTGAAGACCACATGGGAACATAATCCGCGTCTTCTTTCCTACGTCGTTTGTTTGAAACTCCGAGTGCCTCTGATTTGCCGCCATATTGACGAGTCGAGTAGCATGCCCACGGCCGTTAGCTGCACTTGGATCGCGGCAACTTAGTTTTCGGCACGTGAACCATGAAAAAGCAATGCATGCTCATGCATGTTCATGCATAACCAGTCAGCTGGCCTGCTCGCCCACGCATTTGACAGGTAACAATTCCATCAAATTTGAGATATCGCTTCGTTCTAAGTCTCAAAACAGTTCTAAAGTCACCAAACCACGCTGGTAATCGATGGCTATTCAATGTTAACATCTTCAGGAAGACTTCAGCCGTTTCCCGAGAGTTTGGGCATCGTTGCCGTTATTTTTCACGGTGTTCTTCTTCCTCCTGTCTGGAGCTGCAATTGCATCCTGGAATTATTTGAAAGGTATTTCGTGCGGGCTGTGGGGGGTTCCAACAGGCATAAACTGACATCGCTATAGGATAACTGGTAACTTTCACCCTTCAAGGAGGTAGAGCAATGAGAATTTTTTTGTGGCGGTCGTCCAATTTTTGTGGCGGTCGTGGCTGTATTTGTGCACTTCCAAGGCTTTCATTCTGCCTGATACTACTCTCTACTGTATGGGAATCGTTGTTTAGGCACATGTAGCTGTCTTATTTGGTAGATCTGCTGTTTTCAATCACTTGGGACACTTTGTCTAGCCTATTTGTCTTTCGTTCGTGCCATCTATCAGTTTTGTGGGGTGCCTTGACCTGTATTTGTGAAGTTCTCGAGTAAGGACTCTAATTCTTGACTGGAGTCACGTCTTGAATTGAATTTGCTGGGTGAGCCCTCGTTCACGCAGTTGTACTTATCGTAATAGTCAATATCTGCTTGCTGGACGGACTAGCGGCTAGAATAGGGATGACCAAATGGTCCAAGTGTTACTAGTACACGATTATTGTTTCCATCATCGTGAAATGAGCGTTGTGGAATTGCAATCGTCTGCCTTTGGCACAGAGGACATGAGGAGAGTTGATTGTTACTTCTACTCAGCAATGAAGCGATCATCAGCTCTCTTTGTTCTAATTATTGAGAGGACATACCGGCATCGCAATCAAGTAAAGATTAGGCAAACCTCGCCAACCTCCAAAGAGAGTCGAAGATATTTTCTCCAAATGCAAAGACGATCTTTGTGAGTTTGTGACTTGCATTTGCGTGCATACATGAGCAAGTCACGGACCACCGCACGTGCGCGGTTACCATGCCATCTCGAACCGACGCCATCTTTCTAAGTTGCCGCTTCTTGACAGCCGTGTGCCAGCAACTGCAATGCATGGCACGGAGTCTAAAGCTGTAAATTTATGCACATACAGGTACCCACGGCATAGAGCACCAAGTATCGTTCGTTGTAACTAAGATAGCTCTAGCTCTATTCGAACCGTTCGGAACGAATATTGAGCACTCTATCGAGCCGGACAACGAACGATGCTTGGTGCTCTGGCTCTGCCGTGTGTAAGATCGCTCTATTCGAACCGTTCGGAACGAATGTTGAGCACTCTACCGAGCCGTAGGACTCATTTGCACAATGTACAACTTACTACAAGGTCGAAGCGGAGCAAGGTCGGAATGCATTCGAAAATTCGGCATGTTTGTTCAGAAAACGCTCACTTTGCCGAAAGTATTTCGGAAGAATTTGCTTGTAAAAGAGCGCTTGTGCCTGGTTTATCAGTTCAAAGAGGTTTCTTATCTCGACATGGCTTCGCAGGCGTCTTCGGCGACATCAGCATCGTCAGCTACCTCTGATTGCTTCTCTCCATTAATTGTCTGTCTACTCCCTTTCGCCTGGAGTGTTCTCACTATCATCTGTGTGGCTGAAAAGACAAGGCGATACGCATAAATACTATAATAAAATTGTTTTCCTTGGAAATTTTTTTTTTAAATACGCATAAAATTTGACTTGGCTATGGAGTTGATTCTTCTGAGACAACTGAGGAGGCAGATTTGGCCCTCGAGTCTTTGGGCGATCAAAGGACTTAGGTTCGTTGGTATCAGCAAGAAAAGGAGCACGGGACTGGACATTGCTGATGCTGGAGCTCACGAAATGAAAACGCATGATGTTCGACTTGCAAAACAAACGTTCATTCGAAAATTCGACATTATTTAAAATGTTCGACAAAATGACCGTCGATTCGGAATGCAAACCCTCACTATTTTCGCTCCGGTCTCGAGAATTTCTCGTACGATCCCATATCGGCCTAGTAGTAGTAGTAGTAGTAGTAGGGTCTACTCAGTAAATCTACTACCAGTCGAGTTGTTGACCAGGCATAGTGCAGAAAGAGGAAATCGCAAATGATGAGTGCACCTGTCGACACGGCCGGCCCGTGATAGTTTTTGGGCGGTAGTTTCTTTCTTCCTAGCGCTATAGCGTCGCTGCGCACCTCTTCCCCCCCCCCCCCCCCCACACACAACGTTGTGTGATGTTTTGCAGTGTGCACGCCTGTTTCGTGGGCATTCGGCTTTGACGGGGAATTTCTTTCTCCACGCTCTCGCTGGTTGAATCCTTGCTGTTCGGAGCTCAGTGTAAGGAGGTAAGTACAGTGTCTGGGTGAAATCACATTTGTTAGTTTCTTGCAAGTGAGCCATGTCGATGAAATAATGTTTGACCGCCATTGGAGAGAAAGTTTTTACCATCACCAATGGCTGTAGACGCTTGTCATGACATGAGGCTACATGTACATGTACATGTGACCTATGCATAGGCTATGGTGCAACTGTAAGGCGAAATCCGAGTGCGAATTTCGCTACAAAATAGTATTCAAACTCTACTGGCAAGTAGAGTGGTATTACTGTATAAGGAGTGATTCGACAGCCCATTCTGGTAAACTGGCATGAAAACCTGCTCTTTTTCCAGATTTTTCCTTGCAATGTACATTGCACGGTCATAGGGTACAATCATGTACTTAGCCCTTGGCGGATTTATATTATATGCTCCGTAAATTGCTGAATTATGCTTCTCATTATGCCCAAATTTTGCCAGTGATTACGCTATATTATACTGGAATCATGCCAATGATGGTGCTATGCTGTACCCTTGCAATCTTGTTGCACTTTGCAACGTTACAACGACTCTGGCTCCATGACGGCACGGTTTATAAATATAACAGTCATTCACCAGGTTATTTCCTGTAACATGCCTAAATATGTCTGGAGCATTACTCTTCAGCCAGCATCGTAAGGGTATTTTTTTATTTTTTATTTTTACAATGATCACAGCTCACAGGCAAAGACAAGAAATTGCATAGTGGGAGCATAGTGATGGTGAGGCTTTTTGCCCTCAGCCGACCTGAGGTCTCGACGTCATGGGGACATAAAACGCACCCAAAAAAAGAAGAAAAATGAAAGGAGTGACACTGAGGTACATGATACGAAATGTTAGGAGGAGAGACAGTACATTAGAAGGAGGGGAATGATAAGACAGACAGTGCTAGGAGGAGAAGGAGAGAAAAGAAGAGCAGACGTTATTGGGAATAGTATGTGGAGCGGAATTTGGAAGTCATGGGGTGAGGCAGATATGATGCTGATAATCAGAGATGGTCATGTGCCCACGACCAGTCGTTGGTCTTCAAATAGCGGTTGGCTGCAACTTTGAAGTGTTGCAAGTTCTTGGTGCAGAAAGGACCAGAGAAGACTCCGGCGGGCAGCATGCCGACCGTCTGGTCTCAGAAGTCCTTTCATGCCAGGGCATATTTTTTAGACAAAGTCCGAAGATTATGCCAGCATAATAGAAATTATGCCAGCATAATCCGTCAAGGGCTACGTGTACTTGTGACAAACGTCTAAGTTATGCCAACTGTGCTACTCCGACCTAGGCACTTTGCAAACTTCACTGCAAAGGCGTAGTGTGTGCTGTCCCCATGAAAAATCGCGGAGGAATTTCTCCGAGAATGTGCACTGCAAAATATTCGGAATGTGAAAAACACACTGAGAGTGAAATGAAGGAAATAATCATTATTGCAGCAAAATGCTGTGGACTGCGCCAGAGTCTCAACATAGAGGAAATGAATGTGGTGTATGTGCAGCCTCTGATGAATGTGGTGTATGCGCAGCCTCTGTTGAGCTCCAAGCATGACCTGATACAGGCATAATGATTCCCTGCCGCACTCATGGACTTGGGAATTTGTCTTGCACCTGACACCTAGCAGGAAGCCCTACGCTAACTAGATAGACTATGTAACAGAGATGCAAGGGGCTCCTTGCTGAACAAGCAATGCTAACGTTTTCAACTCAGATGGAGAGAGAAGGATTGAAAAAAGAAAAGGACAAAAGGTATAAGCAATTTATCGGCAGTTTTCCAACACTTATACTTTGAAGTACAACCAAGATCGTGACTGGTGGGTCTAACTGTGCATCAGCACATTCAAGATGTGATGGAGCTAAACATCAGGTCGTGGAATGTCAGTACCACTTTAGTCAGTATTGCTCCAACTGTTGCATGCTCTGACTCACCAGTGTCTAGCTTAGGGCCCGGTCTGGCGGTCACACATGCACTCAAAAGTAGCGGTTCCCCTGAAGCGACGTCGCAGGAGCGGAAAATTCCATGGCAACGGCGAAAAGCGGAACTACCGCTTCAGTGGAAACTCAAATCCGCTGCCTCCAAAATTTTGGGAACGACACTCTCGCTTCAGCGGTTTTGCTTCAGCAGTTTTGCTTCAGCGGAAAACACCACAGTCTACTCTATATGGACTTGGTACGAGAAATTTGTACATTGTATGATGTGTGTGTGTGTGTATGATGTGTGTGTGTGTGTGTGTGTATGATGTGTGTGTGTGTGTATGATGTGTGTGTGTGTATGTGTATGATGTCTATGCAACAAAAATGCCTGCAAGATAGTCATTGACCTCGTCTTTTTTCCGTATGCACCACAGTCGACTTCGCTCTCATTTTCCGCCAAAGTAGGAGTTTGCCCTGTTTGTATGTGTGACCATACACACGTGGTTCCGCTGGAGAGACACCAGTCTCGCTGCCGCAGAACCTTGCCGCCGAAGTGGAACCCCAGTGCATGTGTGACCGGGTCCTAATGCAAGTGTTAAACAACTATGGATAACTTTTTTAGACTGTTGTTCCTTCCTATTTTTAAATAAACTAGACTCACCCGTCACGATCTTGGTTTTAATGTTGATCGAAAAGCTCATTGTATTTTTACTTGTACATGTACAGTGACATGCCACTAGAGCGCCCACCAACTACCTTTTGTGGTTGTGTTGTGAAGGCGGTGTCCTGTCTGTAGGTCCATCAACACGTTCCTTGTCCACACAAAATCATTGCTCTTTGTACAGTTAATCCATACTCAGTTTACCTTGGAGCAGATGCGAGCTCCACACAAGAACATGCTAAGTGTGAACTTAGTACACCAGGTTCTCACACCATACAAACTTACTCTAGTAGTTGCACGTTGCCATACAATTTTCCTTTCCCTGGCTGTACAATGAAGGTGGGGCGCTCTCGCGGTACTTTATGGCACATGAACACGCTGGGATACCGGCTGCCTTGTGCTGGGACCGTGGTTGGCCTGGGCAGGTACCGCATTTTCCGGACTATCAGTCGCACTGGAGTATAAGCTGCACCCAGATTATTGCCACGAAATACAGACGTCTATCCCACTTGCCACTGTTAATTTGACCATCGTAGTATTAGCCACATCGACTTTTTGGGGGTTAATTACTGGTGTTTGAAATGCGGCTTATACTCCGGGAAATGCGGTAGTTGGACATGTCTAAACGCAGAAGAAGTTTCCAGCAGTATGCATATCCGAAATCCCTCACGCACGCCGACTGGCCCTCCTGTTGATCAGCACGGGCCGGAGCTGGGTATGAACATGGTACTCCCCCGCTACCAAACCTGTACTGACCGAGTGTACTGGCTGCTTATGTGCGTGTGTGCGCGTGTATGTATGTGTGTGTTTCACATGGCTTCGCCAGTTGTGTGGGTTAGACAGTTATCTGGCGCAAGTCTTGATCTGTCTCATTCAGATCTTGTTTGCTATCGTTGCTATAAGAGAAAATCTGTGGGTGCACATCCAGTGCATTTGCAGATTTGCGTGCTTCTCTTGCGACGGGCGTATATATGGTACATGGTGTTGCAGTTCTACCTTCCATCAGCAGTGCTAACTCTAACGAGTTAACGAGGAGAAATCTGTCGTTAAAATAGAAATCGTTATACAGAAATCGATACATATACTTTCCTATTGAGCGTTGAGAATGAGTGAAAATCGTTACCTTTGGTACACGTAAACTAGTCAATTTTGGGAAATCGTTATGTATGTGCCTCGTTAGAAGAATGGCTTTTACAGTAGCAGGACATTTTTGGACGGAATTTATTTTCGTACGATTTCGTACACGGTCTCTTTCTTGTACTGAAATTATTTCCGTACTAAAATTTGTTCTCGGGAAATTATGTACACTATACATGATGTACATCAAAATGTGTCTTGGCACGCGCGTACTGCATGCAAACACGTGTATTTAACATGGAGCACTGTACGAAAATAGAATCCGTACGAAAGGTCAAAATTCGACTTTGTCCGAAAATATTCCCGTCCGAAAATTTCCTGCTATACAGTATGTGGAGAAAGTCAATTAATTGTGTGAACTTTTTTTCCCCTTGCTGGGTATTTATTAGGATGGTGGTGTAGAGCAATTCCTCAGTTTAGTCCTGGAGGATGTGTTGTGGTTTGACCTGGCCATCTAACCCATGAAGACGATGATTACATTATAAGGTTACCGGTCTTGGAGTCACGGCCATCGATTGCCTGTAAGTCACAGGAAATGACAGACGAGGTGGTCAAATGTATACATGTATATGTACAGTCATATCACGTGACATGTATAATATGGATGGGTTGTGACCCTCTCTGTTTTATGGATGGGTTTTGTGTCATTGGCACGATCTTCTGCTCAAATAGTTGCTCCAGGCCGGGCACCAAGTCCTGTTTGGCTGGTGTATCTTGTCAAGAGAGCCATATCTGACTGTCTTCCAAACCAGCAATTTCTTTATCACCACTAAGCACACCATAATCTTATCCCTTCGCTTTGTTTTCGCTGCCTGGGCCATCATTTCTCTTTGCTTTTTTGTATTGCTGAGGGAAATATGCTGGTTTGTATTCGTGGG